TGTATAATATTGGAAAGGACTGCCGAATGAGTTGGTGCTCTATAAATACCAATAATAATTATGTCTGCTTATGTGTGGACAGACCTTGTTCAGCTCATGCACGAGAAATTAAAGAGGGACTTTAGCTGAAGATAATACGCAAAACCTGAAACAATTGAAAATGATGCTAGCTTTAGTGTACTAATAGAAAATAGATACTGGATTCCAGTAGGTGTATAGGCTCTTCCAAGTTTGTAGTGGTAGGTGTGTGTGTAAATAAGGTGTTTCCCCTATCACCTTAAAACATAGACAAATAAATAAATAGAAGTAAAAACACTATTTAGTATACACAAAACCCAGTGTCAAAATAGGGGAGAAAAATATACTTAACGGTATATAACACAACGGATGTCCAAATGTTGGAAAGGATACAATATTTTGAGAGTCTATAAAAAATAAATATAACAGTATTCTGATAGAATAAGAATAAAAGGTAAGCAAATGTATGGTTACATTTACACATGTAGAGTCGCACCAGGCTCTATATTATCAGCTTCAGGGTGCCAATACTGGCTTGGATACTTGTCTACAGGTAAACAGGCAGGTAGGAATGGTTTACAAGACATTTATTAGTAAAAAACTATATATTAAAAACAAGACATAAACAAAAGCAGTGTGTAAAAACAAATATACACACTACCGCAATAAAGTCCTTATAATAATACAGCAAACGTGTTTCGACATAAAAGTCTTCTTCAGTGCACATTTCCTAGTTTTTGCAGCCCATGACTCCCAGAAGATGTCTTCAGCCTCTGCTGATAATTCCTCAGTGCACCATGAGCCCCTGAAAGAGTCTATGCTACCAAAGATAGGCGTCCGTCTTGGGGTATCGGATGTGGGTTCCCCATGGGGTCTCTTAGCATCATTTGGTTGTATGGTAGGAGAAAAGGGTCCTCGCATGATAGAGTTAGAAGGTCCGGGAATCATGGTTGACTCGGCCATAGAAGGGTCAACAGGAGAGCCGTCACTTTCTTAATCCTGATATGATGCAGAACTCTTGCGATCATAGCAAAGGGTAGGAAGGCGTTTGCGCCTCTGGTCGGCCAATTCTGTAGGAATGCATCCACTACTGAACTGTCTTGGTCCGGCAGCCAACTGTAGAATGTTGGTAGTTGGCGGTTGGTGCGCCATGGTCCATTCGAGGTAGACCATTTTGCATCTCGCACCAACCGCCAACTACCAACATTCTACAGTTGGCTGCCGGACCCAGACACCTGTACTGTGTATGCTGTCTGTGACATCAATTGTTGTCGTATTTGTCCGAATAGAAGTATGTCGTCTAGATATACTATGCATCTGATACCCAGTCACCGAAGGTGGGCCATTACTGGTTTCACAACCTTTGTAAAGCACCATGGTGCAGAGCTGAGTCCGAGTGGGAGGCAAGTGAATTGCCAAGGTGTTCCTTTCCCTAGGAACCTCAGAAATGGACGACTTTCGTTGGGTACTGCGACGGACAGGCATGCGTCTTTGATATCCAGGCGGGTGAACCCGTTTTCTTCTCGGAGAAGATCTTGTAACTGGTGTATACTTTCCATCTTGAAATGATGGTAAGTAACGTGTACGTTTAAATTCAGCAGATTGGTTACCGGACGGTACTTTCCTGTCTTTTTCCCCACTAGGATCATATTGTCGAAGAATCCTTCCGGAGACATAGCCAGTTGTATGGCCCTTTTTTTTTACATAGATCCGTTCGAGATCTATAAGCCTGGCATCCGGCCTTGTGAAGTACAGCGGACGTGGTGGTGAGGCTTTTGTTAGAGTGACTTCGAACTCTATGCGGTAGCCTCGTACTGTCTGGAGAAACCCATGCATCCGTTAATAGTTCTGGAAAAAAATACAAAAGGCGACCCGCTCGGGGTTCTGTAGATAAGACAGAAGGTATTATGGTTATGTAACAGTGTCTTACCTGTCGTGAAGTGTCCACGAGCATGTCTGCGGCCCCTGTTTGACCTTCGGGAGTATTGGAATTGTTGACATGCGCCAACTTCCGGGTAGAATTGTTGTGTCCGTGGATATCAGGGGCCTGATGGCCAAAATCATCCGGGCGGAATGACCCCTCTGGTCGCCCTGCCAAAAAACAAAACCTTGGGGTATTGCCTCTAAATACTTGCATTGATATTTGCGCCTTGTTTAGTATTGTGAACACATTCACATGCTTGTTCAGCTCCTTCATAAAAGGTTCACCGGACAATTTTCCTTGGCCCCAAGATCCACCAGTTTACCATCAATTCTAAAGAGAGCTGCTCGGTGTCTCTCAGACAAGAAGCAGAAGCATCTTTGGGCCCACTCACTGACATCATGTGTCCGCCTGTGCATGGGCTTGATCTGCAAGCGTCATCATGTGGGCCAGTGGTCCTATAGCATCTAGCAACTTATCTTGGGCTCCTTTAAAGCCTTTTTTACCCCCTTCCTGGGTTCTCTGTCCCCTTTTTGCCATGAAGGCCAGCATGAGTTGGTCAAACTCTGGGGTGAGTGCTACTTTATCCGGCAACGAAGGTCAGGGCCACTCAGAGGGCAATCTCTTGCGGACCTCTTTGTCTAAGGCCTTCCTGAGCCAAAAGTGTATAAACTTTGTGAGGTGGCGGTGTCCAATCTCCTGAACGCAGATATTTCTCAGGTCGAACATTCGTCGACCTGTGGCGTCATAGAAACGCTCACTATCTGGCTGCTCTGAGGCCTCCGCCTCATATATGTCCTCTTGTTGCTGGGGCTCACCCAGGAATATCTCCTTAACTAAGGAGTTGTGACCCCTTGTCTCGTCGTCCGACTGAGACTGCTCGACATGCCATTCGTCCAGGACCAACAAAGAGGGGGGATAGTCATACTCCTCATCTGCGGAAGCTTCGTATACTCTCTGAGGCAGGGATTGTACCGGTTTGCCCTTTTTCAGTGGTGCTTTACCTTTGTTAGGCTTCTGTTTGGACCCTTCGCCCTTCCAGTGGCGTTTCGCCAGGCGTGATTGCTCCTTAGAGCATGAGTCAGAATCATCCGATATCTCTCTCGTCTTACGTTAAGAGCACTTGGGGAGAGACTTTGGCAGGTCTTGGATAACTGGCAACACCCTGGCTAAGGCCTTTTCAACCGAAGCGGCCATTAATAAGGGCCTGCAGGTCTGATGGCATTTGGGACTCTTCCATAGTAATATAACACCCTTGGGGTTTACCCAAATTAACAGTGAACTATGAGGTGGATAAGCACATTGCGGTAAATAGTCAGCAGGGACCACTAGGGGTTATAATGACCGATAATATATGTGGCCCACTTATAGGCAGACAAGTTCTGGGGCTCACCTAGAAATAAAGGAGACTGCGTGAACAGCTCCGCTCAGCAGCGCCAGTAAAAAGCGGGCTCACCCCAAGCCGGAGTACTAGGTAATAAACCTGACTGGCTGACCCCTCTTAAGGTTTGCGCTAACCAGTAGCAGGTCCCTGAGACAGGCAATACATGATAGGCAGATAGCTGAAGAAATTTCACAATTTATCACAGCACTGGGTGAGTATGTCCACACAGTAGAAAACTCCTACATACACTCAGGGTTTAAAATGGTCACCGGGATTCTCACGATGCAAAATCCAACATGGGCTTATCTGTCCTTTGGTCTCTGAATGCAGTTGTAATCCCGGACCGATGCCCTCTAATCCGATCTCTCAATGTCATGTCGGTCTTCCCCACATATGAGAGTCCACACGGACATATAATCATGTATATAACATGTGTTGTCGTACACGAAATATAGTGGCTGATTGGAATTCTTTTCCCACTATGTGCAGCCAGTGCACTTATAGCAACCTTTTTTCTTTATAATAGACGGTTTCGCATAGCAGTGACGTGGATCATTCTTTACCAATAAATCCCTCAAATTACAGTTCCGTCTATAACTAATCATTGGATTGAATTTAAACCTATCCGGAAGGCTATGGTCAATCTGAAAAATATTCCAATGTTTGTATATGGCTTTCTTAAGCAATGGAGTGGCCGTATTAAATGTAAGTGGAAGAAAAATATTTTCATTTTTATTCTTATTCACACTGGGATTCATCTTATTTGTTTCGTTAGACTTATTCCAAGCTTTCTGTTTTGCAATCGCAAGAATCCGAGGATGAAAGCCTCTTACTAAAAACCGGTCTCAAATCTCTTGTAATTGATGTTTGCGTTTAACCGCATTGCTGTTATACCTTGTAGCACGTAAAAACTGTAAAATAGGCAATGAATCTTTTACATGTTGAGGATGAAAGCTTGTAGCAGATAATAAAGTGTTGCGATCAGTAGTTTTCCAAAACAAAGTAAGTATATATATTATTTGAAATCACTCTCTCTTATCATTGACTCTTGCCGAATAGTTTTGTTCATTTTATACTGCTTGAATATATATATATTCGGGGTCAATACAAACCATTGTGTGGAAATCTATTCACAAACCGGACTTTACATAGGACACGAGGTCATGCGTTTAGACTGGAAGAAAGAAAATTTTGTCTAAGGCAAATAAATGTTTTTTTTACTGTAAGAACAATAAGGATGTGGAATTCTCTTCCTGAAGAAGTGGTTTTATCAGAGTCCATAGAGATGTTCAACCACCAACTAGATGCATACTTGCAAAAACAGAATATTCAAGGATATCATTTTTCAATGTAGGGTAATAACTTCTTGATCCAAGGATAAATCTGACTGCCATTCTGGGGTCAAACTGTTTTTTTGTTTTTTTTTGCCTTCTTTTGGATCAACAGCAAAAAACAAATGTGAGGAAGGCTGGACTTGATGGACGCAAGTCTCTTTTCAGTTATGTAACTATGTAAAAAGATTTAATATATTAGACACAATTGTTTAAGACTTAGTATCGTGGAAACTGGAGAGCAAGTTCTGACAGATACTTTTTTTCTCAGAAAATATAAGCCTGTAAATGTGCTTCACTTTAAAATGTAATCAGGTTTAGCAAAAAATAAATAAATAAATAATGCTTGAGGGAAGGGAGGTATTTATTTTTATTACTGGGGAGATGGGAGGTCACATGGCACATTCCTTTTTTTACTTTTCGGAGGATTTACCACCAGAAATCACATTGTACAATGTTCCATGACATAATATAATCATACAATAAAATCAATAATAAAATAAATAGACGAGTTGCCTACCTCACAATTCCTTCCTTCTGATCTCAATCACTCAATTCCTATACTCTGCTCTGTTTTCATATGTAAGATAAAACTTGGTCATGATTACTCCATGCATACTCCTTTCATGCTAGTGTCCCTGAGCTGGATCTGTACATTGACATTATTTAGCCTGAACACATCTTGGTAAACATAGAATATCTTCCTAACAACCTGTACACAGCATCAGAAAGAACAGCGCTCCAAGACAGGACGGTCGCAACATCTGTGACTGCAAACCAGGAAGATGCAGGTCTGTCCTTCAGCTTGTTTGCAACATCCAGGTTTGAGGATATTTGTCCTAGCATGCACGAACTAATAAAATAAAGAGGACGACCAGGCAAAATGCTGATATAGTTGTGAATAGAGACAGGAGTCCAGCAAATAATGAAGAACTCATGGGAAGAATTATTAGTGGTCTCTCTGTTGGGATCATGTTTGTGAGATTCAGCATGTATCCAAGGGACCAGGCGATGCTGCTGTTACCGACCTGTCAATAAAAGTAAAATTAGAAAACGGAACTCATAATTTAGCACTGCAAAAATTGACGACCATACCATGTTATTTTCCATAGTTTCAAATCAAACTGGACAAATGATATAGCAAAAATAAGTGGTTCTATGAAACAAGATTAGGAATTAAGCGAATTAGAAATGGACAATGGACACAAAGTGTCAATGCACCCCTGACACTCACAGCACCCTCACACACACACTGCACCCTCACACACAGCTTCATCACACGCACATAGCACCCTCACGAAAACACAGCACTCATCACTCGCGCACACACACACTGCACCCCTCACACACACAGAACCCTTACCCACACAGCACCCTCACACACACACTACACCCCTCACACACACTCTACACCCCTTACACACACAGCACCTTCACACACTCACACTGCACAATACTTTTAACTTGCATTTTTGTCTCCTGGTATCCCATCTATGGAGACAAATTTCAAGCAAACACAGTGCAAGCATGTTATTAAAGGACCACTATAGTTCCAGGAAAACATACTTGTTTTCCTGGCACTATAGTGCCCTGAGGGTGCCCCCACCCTCAGGGTCCCACTCCTGCCAGGTTCTGGGGAGAGGAAAGGGGTTAAACTTACCTTTTTTCCATCGCCGGGCGGGGAGCTCTCCTCCTCCTCTCCGCCTCCGACCCTCCTCTTCGGCTGAATGCGCATGCACGGCAGGAGCTGCGCGCGCATTCAGCCGGTCTCATAGGAAAGAATTTACAATGCTTTCCTATGGACGCTGGCGTCTTCTCACTGTGATTTTCACAGTGAGAAGCACGCAAACGCCTCTAGCGGCTGTCAATGAGACAGCCACTAGAGGCTTTGGAGGCTGGATTAACCCTATTTCCCTGTTTCTCTGAAACTGCTATGTTTATAAAAAAAAGGGTTAGTCCTAGAGGGACCTGGCACCCAGACCACTTCATTAAGCTGAAGTGGTCTGGGTGCCTAGAGTGGTCCTTTAAATTTGCTTGCGCTGTGCAGAACAAATACGGGGTCTTTTTCTCATGCTAGAGCTCTTCAGCAGAGCTCTGCGCATGGTCTGCCCTGGAAGAGCATTGAACCAACATGCTCACTTTGTGATGGGGCGTGCTTGCCATTGGTGATGACAAAACTTTTTAATGGGCCGCTGTAATTAAAAAATGCCCAGGCAGAATTTTCTTCCCAGTCCGGCCCTGGACTTATCCCACCATACTGAGAAATGTGTGTGCATTGAGAAGTAGACAAATCCATACAAAATATATCTGTATTGATTACAGGTGACTTTCTAACACACCTTCCTGCAGACCATATATACCATACAGTGCAAAGTACACATGACTTACCTCTTTCTGGAAATTAATTTGTGGCCAAGATTCAGCATCGAATTTATATCCATAAACCAAAAGATAATAGATGAAGTTTGCAGAAAAACAATAGGATCGTGCATATTTTTCTTCAAACCTACTTAAAATCTGTGGAAGCTTCAAAATACAAACAAACAAACAAACAATTGTAATTATTACCGAAACACACACACACAATTAAAAAATAATGTCTCTGGGAAACTATAGCATACCATATTTAATGCTATGCTTACTGGGTTCACTCGAAGATAATTTTTCTATTTTTTTAATAAAATTAGTTGTAAGCCACATATTTAATAAGGTATTAAAAAAAGACAATCCATTCCTTCTCTTATGCTTTATTTAAAACAGTTATTATTTGCACAGTCCTGTTAATAAACAGGTTGACAGAGGAATTTGCATATTCCTTGAACACATTTATATAATGTTATTCTAGAGGCAGTAAAAGGTAGCAACCGTTTTTTCCCCCCAGTCTGTGAATAAGCCACTGTTATATTTCTAACTACTGTACTATTATCTACAACTTTAAAACAAATTCCACTAACGCTAATTTTTGTAAATTTTATCTGAAAATATCTGCATTTCACACAAACCTTACTCCATTCTTGATTACAGAAATTCCACATACTTGAGTTGAATTCATTTAACGGAAAATTTCCAGTGAGATTTAAGGAACTTGCGGTATAATAAAATCCTGAGAATGCCTGTGCAAAATAAAAGGAACACATTGACATGAATAACAACCGTATAAGGAAAAGTGCAGAAACATTCAACATGGAGCAATTCTCTAATATTATCAGGTCGCCTCCATTTTGAATTCACATGAAATGAAGCATGTTTACATCTATTTTTATCGCAGGTCACACTAGTTGAGTTTTAATTTGCTTATTCATAAACAATGCCTTTTGTTGGGAAAGTACTACAAAATGGCAGTAACCAATACCAGAGATACCAGGATACTCAGACATAATAAGGCCTAGTAGCAGTACAAATGCTTGTAAATAGCACTACTGCTATGTTTACATTAGGGGGTTAACCCAGCCTCTAGTGGCTGTCTTCCTGACAGCCGCTAGAGGCGCATCTGCGACGCTGGATGCGAAATTCTCATCCAACTTGCAGAACTTCCATAGGAAAGCATTGAGAAATGCTTTCCTATGGACTGTTTGAATGCGCACGCGGCACTTGCTGTAGCCAAGTTTCCTCACCTCAAGGAAAGGTGAATGCAAGTAGCACAGTGTGGGTGGGTATCCCAGGGCTATTGCTGTTTGTCCTTCTCACTACTGGAGTGTTTTAGTATAGCCAAGCTTTGACATTGCCTATGACGGCAAAAACACGGCTTTTAAAGAATAGTAAGTGTTAAAACAGGCATTCAGAAGACCTTTATGGAAGGTTTGTTAAAGCATAATTTTTTATGATAATGAATCATATGCTGTAATAAAAGGAGGAGTGAATATTAATCTTGATGGTCTGTTTAATTTAAGTGACCTTTATGTGATGTTGTTGAACATTTACATTAAGGAAAATGTGTTGTCATGGTGATTTACACTTATTAGGACTGGAGACAAAATTACCCAGCTCTGTTAACTCCCTGCCATCTATACTACTATTATTTTAATTAGAACTTGGACAACGTCATATTTTCTTAATATTTAGTAATACTCTGTTGTCTCAGATTGAATAAACATTCTATTTTGTTTTTCATTGAAAAATATAAATAAACGAAATAATAAGATAAATAATTATAAAATAAATGTTTATGTAGTTTTCTAAAGTAAACAACTAGTAATTACTAAGCAATAAATGTGAAAAAATATATATTTATGGTATGTAAAATGTATTTTAAGAAATTGAAATTAAAAAACCCAACTATACTCATATAACTAAAAGCTGGAAATACACATAAACTATATTTCTACAGTACCCTACATATACAAGATGGGATCTATGTCAGCCATTTTCTTAAATACTACTAAATAGTTTAACAGCAGACTTGGAGATTTGTAGCAGGCCAACCTGCAATTTAAGCCAATCAGATGAATTCCTGAACTCCAAACAGAAATGTACCCGAATCGAGGACAAACTGAACTGCACAATGCCAAACATGGGGGGTGTGATTCTGAATTTTACCCAGCTGAGGCAGTACTCCAAAGACCAATAGATTTTTCTCCCTGGTTATTTTGCTTTCATGCCCAATGGATGGCCTTCCCAAATATTCTCAAAAACGATTAAATGCAATTACTTTAGCAGCCCATTGGGCATCCGAGCCTCCTCCCTTAAAGGATGTAACCCTGGAAATAGAAGACAATTGTCCCATGGACGAATTGACTGCCAAGGCCAGATGATCCTCACCTTCTTTCACCAAAATATGGGATCCATGGAGGGACTTTAGCTCTAGTAAGGGTTAGACGTAGAGCCTAGGATGGGACTGGGGTTCCCGTGTTTCTGCACTTTTTACTCTCTTCCTCGCCTCCCTCTTTTGCCTTCTTTCTTGCCAACATATAGTGCATATAGTTAGAAAAGCAGTTTATTGTGGTTATTCTCACATCTGCTTTGGGGGCATACAGGGATACAGGGTTGCTAATGATTGTAATATTCTCTGATAATTCCAAACTGCAATGCATTGTACATTGTGATTCTCAGCGTCTCTGATGTAATCAGCCACTATGCATATTATGTACTTCGATTAATTGTTTGCTATGATTTGCATATCTACACTGTGTCATTGTCATGTGTATGCTGTCCCGACTCTCTTAAATCAAGAATTATAACAAAATATATATATATATATATCATATTATGTACATATTTTGCAGCACACTGATTGGCCCATATTCCCACCTTCTTTGTTCTTCTGATTCTGTTACCGAATCAGAATCTCGGTACCGAATTTCTGCCAAACCATAGTTATATTTGTTGAACTCAGATGTTCCCAAAAAATATATACATATTTTTGGGAAAAAATGGTTTGGCCATGCCTTCTAAACTTCCCCCTCCCCACCTTGACCTAGACTCTTAATCAGTGTCTTGGCATTTCATATGTAGCAGATAGGATAATGAAGAATCGATTGCCTTGATTCATGGTATCTTCCTGAAATGTCCTTTCAGATTACACCCCCTTTTACTTTCTCCCTTCCCCATCTACCTCCCAGAGGTTTGGACTTAATTTTGTTCCATTGTCTCCAAGCGTGGGGATGGCTTTTTCAAAGGTTTCCTTTAGTCCATTTCTTCTTGCGGTGCCCTCTCGCAGATTTTTCAGATTGTTCTGTTTCATTTCCATTTTCTTCTTCCTCTTGTCTCTCCCTTTTCAGAGCAGAGCACCTATCTGCTACTGTCCCTGTTTACTTCAAATTTATATGTGAACGTATGTGCCCAGTCTTTAAAATTAGTATGTTTAGTAAATTAAACAATGTCCACATAATGTAATGCTTACCGAAAATTGCCCTTTCACCTTGGGTTGGTAAATTCCATCAAATGAACAATCTTGTTCGCCATTGCACGATGTGATATTAAAGAGTGAGGCCACCTTCTCAAGACACTTAGTTGGATTTCCAGTTCCCTTAAAATTGATGACTTTATCTGGATTGTAATTAGCTGGACGAAACGGTGCAGAACACAAACTTCCAAATACATGACTTGAAGTAAAATTTGTCATGTAATTTTGTGGGTAGCAAGGGTTTTCAACATCACGTTTCCCAATGGAATTCTAAAAGATTCAAATATAGAATAGACATTTCAAGTTACCATTATAGTGTGCTGTTAAGGTAATTTATACTGCTCAACAGTATAATAGGCTGCACCCAGCAATACTTTACGGTTGGATTACCAAATCTTCACAAAAGGAAATGTGTTGAAGAATACCAATTATCAATCAAAATCAATACTTTTCAACCACATATTATTAAATGTATTCATAAATGACCAAAGATCATAGTGAAAGTACATTTATTGGGACACTACGAGCATTATGGCAACGTATGCCTTTTGAACAGATTAAAAGACCACTCCAAGCATCATAACCACTGTAGCAACCTGTGGCAATTCTGCAGCAATTTTCCAAATTATTTGTAATTTTAATGTCAACCGCTGGAAGACAGTGGTTTATGAGATATGGTGAGCTTTAATATTAAAGATAACAAGAGTGTGAAGATTGGCTAAAATGTTTTCTGCTACCTCTTGGACTGAGCAGAGAGGGGATTTGCTACACACGTTGGATCATCAATGAAGAATATATTTTTGTATTTTGTAGACATATATTTTTAATAAATTGTGCAACAGAAAAATGGTAGTAAACTCCAGCCTGGAATGTCCTATAAAACCTTGGACTATGCAAGGATCTTTATCAAATTTACATTTTTGACCTATTAAACAAAATGTTGGGTTTATGTCAAAACTAAAAGAGTTAACTAAACATACACACACTGATCTGTCAGTCATCAGGTATTATTTTACTGCTTTACGTTTGTAAAAAAAAAAAATATAGGTGTGAAACAAAGTTGTATTCACCTCTCCTATTCCTTGTTTAAAAATAAAAACCTTGAAAATATAACTTCATATCATGAGTCTAGAATCTTTAGAATATAGGCCAATACTGCAAAGCTGGAAAACATATGTCACACTCCCCTGATTTGAAGAGTTTCTAAAACTTGACCATTTTATTTTAAATTGTCTTTTAGCACAGAGATCCACCAGTTTCTTCCAGAGATCAAGAGTTACATCACATTTACTCCATGTTTAGAAGTATGTAATTAACATTCAAAAGAGTCCAGAGGAGAAAAGTATGGTGACCTTCAACCCATATTACTAAACGTAACTTAGTGTGTAATGACACAAGTGAAAAACACACATTTTATGCAGCTTTCATTTCATGAAAATCTCTTGTTTTTGTACCTGAGCTAACGACGCTAAAAGTCTCTTCTCGGATTCATCTCGCCCATAGCACTGAAAGCTGTGCGTGTAGATGTTGTATTGATATCCATACAGAATAACCTGGACTGTGCTATTCGGATTCTGGTCTATCATCTCTGGAATAAAAGATATCTGTGTAGAGGCGCCTCCCAGATCCAAAGCTCCAGTGGTCTCAGCTCCATGAGGTCGTACCCAAGCTCTCCAAATGTTTTTCTAAATTAAAAGTTGAAGAAAAAAAAAATAGGCCATAATGAACACAATACTGTAATTTAAAACTGCGTATTATTGCTGTGATATTTTAAGCCCGATCAGCTATTCTAGACTCCTACATAAGAGAGACACCTGGGTAGAAAGTAGGGCCAAAGTCATTTGTGTCCTTATGAGGAACTGTCCATCCAGAACAGTGTAATTTAGAAGACATGCATCATTTATTTTTATTGCATTTGAATATAATTCATTTTATAATAGTCTCCTATTATATTACTATTTGAATTCTTTAACACTGCTAATAATATCAGCTTTGTCAACAACCTTCTTTTAGAAAATGAAATGGTTTCCTTAAGAATTTTTTAAACAAAATACATATGTCAAGTATAAGTTTTGTTTTTTTTGCCATCTCAAATTTCCTCCATTCTACCATTCCAATGCAGTCCTCTGTGCAGTGATTCAGAGGACAGCAAATTAAATGTAGAATGTTGTGGTGACTGAATTTTTGGAATCAGCAGCTAGGCCATGTCTTAACCAGCTCTGCCATAATTCAATCTGGTTTTACCCATTGTTACCCACACCTAGTCCATCGTACACCACCTACATCAAACCTTGCCCCAACCCATGACTCATTTCATGACCTTGGAAGCCTAGGCAGAAGAGAACAGAGTGATTGACCTATCAAAGTAAACAGATAAATTTGAAATTAGAATCAAAATGAACTATTAAAAAATTTATTCATATGAACAAGTTAATATACAACCCTAACCGAACAAACAAGAATTTGGTGGTAATGTAAATAATACAAAATGAAATAGAAACATGCAATTGTCTGCACACACCTCCAAGAAATTTCCCATTAAATAGTTGACCGTGATCCACCCATAGACACCTTCATCCTGACCAGTAATAATTTGAGCTCCTCTAAAATCAAATGGTTGAGTTTGAAAGTAGTTCTGAATACTGGTCAGGATCTCTTCAGCCGCACTTTCATTTTTCAACCTAAGCAGTACACAGGAAATAATATTGTGAGAAACTGGAAAAAAAATCAGTAAGTTCCAAGATCAATTCCAAGACCATGCCTTTCAAACAAATAAATCGTCATCATCATTAGCAGCACATTCCACAAGAAAACATTCGGTATCATAGGATCTCTTCTGAAGTATTTAAATAAACTTGTCCCAACAAGAGTGCTTGGGCGTTCCTTTAACTGATATGTCACACAGGTATGTGAGCTAAACTCTCTTACAATAAACTTTATTCAGCAAAGTACTCACCGGAGGAGTCTCATTCCAGCTGTGGCACCCAAGTAAGCTGGAGTACTGTTCTGCTGGTTGGCTGGGATAATTTCCCTCACCTTCTTCATGCATCCATCAATATTCAGGGCAACTTTAGCTGGATCATTGGTGTAGCTGGATATTCCCTGACCTAAAACCACAGGCTAAGTGGTGGTTCAATAAATAGTTACAGGGTAGACGTGAAAACATTACCATGTGTACATACTGGCCTTCGGTAACCCAGCTGAAAATACATTGCTGTCAATGAAAGAGTATATTTCAACGTTTATAAAACTCAAACAGATTTGCTGAACTCTGATTGGCAAAAATTAGGCAGACATAAGTTTGTTTTTTTACTGCAATAGAGACCTGCGAGTCTTGAGTTACTTTGATGGTCTTTCATTTCTGTTCTATTAATAACAAAATAAAAACTCGATATACAAAAGAAAAGAAAAATAAATTATGCAAACATGGAAGAAAAAAAAATCCAACTGACTTATAGGCACAGCATGGCTAATTTAGCCATTTTTGCTATGTGGAGTTCAAATCACTACATTTTAGAGCTCAGTAAAAATAAGCACTTATTACCGTTAGCTAATTTGCTACCTTAACATCATCTATATATTGTCAGCAAAGCAAATCATATATGAATGTGGAATTTATTTTTTTTTATTTATTTTTTTACATTCTTTATTTATTTATTTTTCATACTCGTATGTTAACATCGTTGTTGCGTAGTTACATAGTACAAAGTTGTCTGAACAGTCATAATGAAACAATACAGATGGGTGTTTTGATGTGGTAGCAGGTAATAGCATCATTAGTTAGTAGCTAGAGAGGGGTCTAGTTACCTTTGTGTGTTCGGAAGAGTGGAAACCGTCTTTTTCCGCGAGTTGGCTTGTTCGTATATGTGTGTCAACAGTCGGGGTGGGTGGTAACTCAGGTGAGTGAGGAGATGTCCCCGGGTCCGTGTGTGTGGGTGGCCCTGGGTTCGCGCATAGCTTAGGTCTCTTTGTCTAGCTATGATGTGGTCTAGTGTTTATAGGTGAGATTTGGAGTTCTGCTGCCTACGTCGGTAGCCTTGTTAGGTTCCCAGGTTTGTCGTTGGCACATTATGCTTTTTGCTTCTTGTGTATCTGTTTCCTGGCGGGTCCTTTGTTAGTTGTGTTGGAGATATTATGAGTGTGTGCGACTAAGAGTTAGGTGTATGTGGATTTTGTGGCTGATACCGGGTGTGGTGTTGCCTTGGACTTTGTGTGTTGTGTTGTGTGCCGGGACAGAGTCGGGTCCGGATAAGATGGGTGTTGGTTACCGTCTGCGGTGCTGTCATTTGGTTGGGTTAGTGTGAGCGTTGCGTGTCTACTTGTGGTCGCCGGTGGCTTACCCATTTGTAGTGAGGGGTGTAAGGTGTGGTGGTATGCTATTGTGTCTGTAGTGTATGAGCATGCATGGTGGCTGTCCATGTCGTGGTTTTCTGTGTTAGTCGTCTTCCCTCTTGTGTTGGGGTGCCTTTTTTCGATTTCAGGTATTAGTTTACTGTAATTGGTTCCACTCGCTCCCTATGCCTGGGGAATCCTAGCGGGACCAGAGTGCGTTGGTGTTCTCCGAGTGTATCGTGAGAGTCTCCTCCTGTCCGTCCTCTCGTATGTACTGTCGTGGGTTGCCTATTCTGGTTCGGGACTTCTCAAGTCCTTACTTTGTTTGTCTGTACCTAGACTCTGTCGGGTGTTAGTGAGTCCTGGGGTTGGGATAAGGCTGGGGAGGGATGTGGGTTGTGTCCTGTCTTATGGGGTTTAGTCAAGTGCGTTGGCTCCGGAGGGTGTGTGTCCTTCTGTCGGGAATGTATGTGCCACCGCGGCGGCGCCCACGTCCCCTCCCGTGTCAGTTCTCGCTGCTTTCTTGGATATGTAGTCCATCCACGGGAACCACGTCAGGGCACATTTTTCTGTGCGTCCCTGTAGGGAGGCCGTCATCCTTTCCATATTGTAGATCACTTCCACCCTGTCTATCCATTGTTGGTATGTGGGAACTGTCGGGCTTTTCCACATCGTTGGAATGAGCGGTTTCGCCGCCGTCAGCAGGTGTATGACAAGGCCTCTCCTGTACGCTTTCAGGGGGATTTTGTTTTTTACCTATACAGTTTCTAAGAGATACATAAAAAGTCCAATAATTCTCTAAAACCACTTTGCTAATTTTTATGTCTGTGTTTACATTTCACCAGTGGACTCACTGTATCTTTGTTTGCTGTTATACATGTCTCACCACATTCATGGTGTCTTCATTGTTATCTTTGCCATTACCACTTTCTGACCGTTTTAGTTCAGTCATTATACACAATGACTCAATCCTTGGACTCATATTATTCTTGAACCTTTCTTCAGCAATTAAGTGGAATTATTGGAAGATGGTGTTAGAAATATAAATGTCTTTGTATGTGTCTTTGTATGCCTTTGTTACAGCCTGATATAGAGGATTCACAGATTCATGGATTTCTCACACAAACTGCTCACAAAAAGCACAGATTCCCCGTTTACAATATTCATGGCAGAAAAAAAGCAGAAAAAGTTAACTAAAGCCTAATGCAATCTCCTACAACTCCGAGTTCTAATAAAATCATTGCCACATGTACTTTTCACTTTCATAAACTTGCTCTGGAGTGCCATTGCATATAGCAATCCAACTTTATACTGAAACAGTGCTACATTCTTATATTAGTATGGTGAGAAAAAACAAAAACAGTATTGACACAAAGGTCATGAACAAACACCTTCCCAGATAATGCACAGAAAAGTCACAGAACTTGCTAAAAACTCTAAATTGCATGTAATGTCTGCAGCACAAACAGAAAAAAAGGTTTTTAAAGTATATGCTCCTAGGATGCAAATGTCATGTTCTTTACTACAGATTCTTGATCAAGCTGTATAACCTGCATAGCAGAGATTTCTTATGGGGCTAAATGAACAATATTTCAATATAATTCTATGCTGTGCTTTTTATACAAAAATGACTCATTTAATAGTTCTCATTTATGTTGATTGTTTTTTCTACAGAGCAGCATTATTACACTTCCCAAGAGAAGAACGCAAGCTATAACACTGTTACAATAAACAAATCTATTTCAAAGGCAGACATTGCTACAGTAAACCATGAAGCGCAGTTTTCCATTGTAAATAAAAAAAAGAGACTTTTCTATTTACTGATCATGTAATAAAACATTGTAAGAGGAAAGCTGGCTTCTTTGTTATCTAGAAAGCCTGTACTACCTTCCATGTTAAAGTAGATTGTGAACAATGAAAGCAGGACATTCTTACCATTAACATTGCATTTGTAAGTCTGGCTCACCACCCCAGTATTGTTCTCCTTTTCAGCCGGCCACTGATATACGTACACTGTAGTCCGAGACGATCCAGCATCCAGCACTATTCCATACTGGAACAAAACAAGATAATATGCAATCAGAATCTATGCACTGTGCTGGCAATATCCATTCTAAATGTATAAAGTAAGTGATATACTTACCCAAAGCTTCCTTTACCCCCTTCAATGTACTCAAAGCACTGTATGTGACTAAAGGTGTCGTTATCAGCCTACTGTGCCATATGTGCATGGTTTTGTCTTTTTAAGTTAACTAGAATTTTAAGTTAAAGAGTCACTATGGTAACCTAGACCTTTTCATCTCAATTAAGTGGTCAAGGGGCAGTGGCCCTGTCCTTTTAACTCTGCAATGCCAAACATTTAGGGTTAAAGCCATCTCTAGTGACGTCTTCCTAAACTTCAGGGACGGAGTGCCCCCAAATAATGCCTTTTATGGTACATTTCACAAAAATATAGCATATTTTTATTTTAAAAAAAAGTAATTCCAATGTCAAAATCTTAATAAGTGCCCAGCAATTCCATACAATTTTTCATGTATACGTTACAGAGCTCAATTTGTTATTTATAAATCTCTTATCAAATTAACGGGAATCTAGTTCTTTTGACAGTGACCAAGGCACATGCAGTGCCATCTTTTCTCCTTATGTTATATTACAAATTCAGCTGAGATAATCATGCAAAATAACAATGCCAGAATTATCAAAAAATGGTGTGGCTTCAAGTGGCTCTGTCACCTTCTGGGGTCTTTGCATATTTTGCAAAGACCCCCAATGGTGACATCACTTCTTGGTGTGCAGTGAACTGGGAATTCAGCAGAATTGAGATATACCGTATTTACTTGAATCTAATGTGCCATCAAATCTAATGCGCACCCTTGGTGACATCATCAGAATTGCCGATTTTTAGGCAATCCAATGCCTTTCCGTGGGGAAAGCATTGGATTGACTAAAATCGGCAAGGGGTGGGGCCAAACACAGTTTTTGCCAATCAGCACCTCCACCTGAATCAATGCATCTCTATAAGGAAAATTCAGCATCTCCATGCAGACCACAGGGACACTGAACGGCAGTGCTGCCTACTGTGCAGCACTGAGCCAGGAAGCACCTCCAGGGGCAATGAATTCGCCTGTGTGAATTCACCAGTTTTAACTTGTGTGTTTGAATTCATCTGTTTTCATTCGTGTGTTGGAATTCACCAATTTTAATTCACTAGTTTGAATTCACCAGTTTTAATTCGCCGGAATGCAATTCGCCGGAAAATTTTACTGCAAGCCGGCTGCAGGAGTCTCAATAAATATTGTCATGTGATGAACGAGAAAATGCCTTTTTCCCACAGCCACCACTAGTTACGCCTGGGGGAAGTAAAATGACTTAATGGTGGTACCTCCGCCTTATGTCAAGTTTTGTCAAGTGGAGGGAAAATACATCAGGTAGAGGAGTCTCAATTTTGTCTTATGGTATGTTTTGATTGCATTGGTATTTCAATTAAATTCCAACACAGTTTTTATGGTTTATTTCATGAAGATTCATATATTTATGGAATTATCCATATATTGGGGGGTTGGGTGTGACTGAGCCTCTTTAATTCTTTTGAAAATTCAAATATTGCATTCTCACATATTGTCATCAAGTGCTAGCTCTGCCAACATACCTTGAGTCCAGGAGAAAGTGTCTGTTCTTTGTTCATTTGAACGTACGAAATTGAAATGATAACCGATATACTGATTACAAGAAAAAGTACAGAAATAACAAGTGGGACTTTTGTTTTGGAAGGCATCATTGCACCTGCAATAAAAAAAAAAAAACACGTTAAAGAGAGAAAAGATTTAGATTTTATTTAAAAAAAAATTTGTTGTCCTTATAAGTACACACTCTAAGGATGAATAAAAATGGGAGTTCAAAGTGAATTCCATTTTTTAGTCACCGAATTCGAAAAAAGAAAAAAATCAAGTTAGCTTTCACTTCTGCTATAATTTAAATAATTAAATAAATAAACAATTCACAATTTAGCAAATAATCCTGAGTATTTTTGTTTGCCTAGACACCAATGCATTTTTCCATTTTATTAAATGAAAATAACGTGAACAGAGTATTATAATTTGTCTGGCGTTAAGAATGTTGAGGCTACTCAGTGCCATTTCAATTTTGTATTGTATCAGAAAATGTCTATAGATTCTATAGAATCAAACCAATGTTTTCCAGGGTTATTTGGACAAGTTGGCCATTAATTCTTATTGTTATTTTAATGCTTAAACATTGAAAATACCATGAATGACATGCATCTTTACCTAAGTGTGGGCTTGCCGGGTTGACCATTACATAATTAAAGGAACAGTGCATAAACACCATAAAATTCTAAGCATAACCACAGTGAATTGCATTTAAACCTTTCAGCACTGATTCTACTTGGTTTAAAAATAAGGTTAACAGTGAAACCACAAAGCTGTATCTACCGGTATAAATATTTATATGGACACTATAGTCACCAAAACAACTTTAGCTTAATGAAGCAGTTATAGTGTATAGATCATGCCTCTGCAGTCTCAAAGGTTTTATCTACTGCTCTGTAAATTGGACCTTTATTACATACAGGAGGCTCCTGCAGCAGGAGATAAGAAATTATACATTAAACAGAATTTGCAATAAAGGAAGTGTAACAATTAGATGACTCTTTACAGGAAGTGTGAAGGCAGTGTAAGTCACATGCAGGGAGGTGTGCCTAGGGCTGTATAAACAAAGTGATTTAACTCCTAAATGACAGAGAACTGAGCAGTGAGACAGCAGTGCAATGATCTATGCACCAAAATGGCTCCATTAAGCTAAAGTTGTTTTGGTGACTATAGTGTCCCTTTAAGGCACATAAAGAGGAACATGAAACATCATCTAATCGTATCCCAAACAGAAGGGGTAGACATCAGGTGCCACCAAATGAAACCAGCATAACAAAACTGTAAGGTTTGCACTCAGAGTGCTTGCACCATAGCCTTCCTGCATGGTGCTTGAAGTGTCCCTTTAAACTATACCAAATCATCTGGAACTAAACAATCACATGGACAAAATAATGCACTGTTGTCAACTTTCAACAACTACCAAACTTCTCCATTATAGGTGTTAAACCACTGAGCAGTTATAATAGAGTAGGTGTGTGATTTAATAATAGGGATTGTAACTCATGATCAATTGAATTTATACATTTGATAGAGATTCAGCAACCACGATGAACATAAGGTAAATTATATTGCTCATCAGTGGCTACAAATTAAATTTTTACTAGACCATCATACAAGCATTTATATGCCAGTGTATCGGTACTTGCCATATTTTGTTACATAGCTGGTTGGGGATAAACTAAACTCTTGCTCCCACCAACTGTAGGGATTAGAGAGAAAAAAAGCCCCACATTCAAGGCTTCACCCCAGCCCCCCAGCCCATGGGGTAAAGAACCAGGGGAATTAATTAATTGTCTCCTCCCCCACCACATCACACAAACTGCCCTTAAAGCTTTTACTTGTCTGTGCTACACTTTGTATTGCAAAAACAAATCTGCACATAATGCACCCGCAGGACACGTTTATTCCTGTAATAATTAATTATCCAGGAATTAGATGCTGAGCAATTACTGAATGCTTGATGATACTAACTCAACTGTTATGCTTGTGCCATTTAGAGTATTCTATACTTTTTTATTCTTTGATTATTTTTATTTTATTCCCAGAAACACAAAAACCTGTATTCACTAAAAGGTAAACGTTTGTGGACTGAAACCCAGAATGATACATTTATATCTGTACAGCCATTATAGCATGAATTGCAGGATCTTTACAATTCAGCTATTTAAAATCCCCACAGTTCCCTTTCTAATTCATTTAAACCAGCAAAACAATATCTGTTTCACGGAAGGTAACCCAATTTTGACAGCAGAATCTGTAATTTTTAATTTTAGGTTTAGTAAATAGACCCATGTGTTGCTATGGGAACTGCTGAATAAATTTCATGCTTTCATTGCCTCCCCCTCTTTGCCTTTTAAAATATCACCCATTCGTGCTACATTCTTTAGCATCTTCTTTTTTAAATCATATAGACATATACACTGATCAGCCACAACATTTAAACCACCTGCCTTATTTGGTGTTGGTCATGTAGGTCCACCTTGTGCAGCAATGGATTGGATTTGTTATTCCAGCAAATCCCACAAATAGTGATGTCCCGAACTGTTCGCCGAACGGTTCGCGAACGGTTCGCCACGAATGGTTCACCACGGACTCATCATTGAGTAAACTTTGACCCTGTACCTCACAGTCAGCAGACACATTCCAGCCAATCAGCAGCAGACCCCCCCCCCCCTTTCCAAGACCCTCCCACCTCCTGGACAGCTAACTAAGAATGCAGCTTCACAATGGATGCTGTCCAGGAGGTGGGAGGGTCTGGGAGGGAGGGTCTGCTGCTGATTGGCTGGAATGTGTCTGCTGACTGTGAGGTACAGGGTCAAAGGTTACTCAATGATGAGTCCGCGGCAAACCGTTCGCGAACCGTTCGGCGAACAGTTCGGGACATCACTATCCACAAATGCTCAATCAGATTCAGATCTGGGGAATTTGGAGGCCAAGGTAACACCTTCAACTCTTTGTCATGTTCCTCAAACCATTCCTGAAACTTTTTTTGTGGTCTGGGTGCCTATAGTGGTCCTTTAACTATTAATAGGGAACATATGGGGTGGGCGGCAACATTGTAACATGGCTGTGTGATACAAAAGCAATATGAAATATAAAAATAAGTCCTGTGCTCAAACTCCCATGGACCCCAGGAGTAGCCTCTAGACATAAACCCTAATGCATACAATAAAAACCAAAGTTACTCTTGGGGTAGGGTGCATTATCCTGCTAGAAGAGGCAGCTGCCATCATGGCACCCCATTGCCATGAATGGGTCTGGTAGGTAGTGTGTTTCAAAGTAACATCTATATGAATACCTGAACCCAAGGTTTCCCAGCAGAACATTGCCCAGAGCATAACACTGCCTCCGCTGGCCTGCCTTCTTCCTGCTGCAATCTCATCCCCAGGAAAACAAGGTACACACACCCGTCCATCCACCTGATCTAACAGAAAACATGATTCGTCAGACCAGGAAACCTTCTTCTATTGCTCAATGGTCCAGTTCCTATGCTCACGACCCCAGTAAAGGCACCAAGGCACTTTCAGCAGTGGACAAAGGTCTTGGGCACTCTGGCGGGTCTGTGGTTACGCAGCCCCACATATAGTTAACTGCAACACACTGTGTGTTCTCACACCTTTCTCTCATGGGCAACACTAAAGGGACACAATAGTCACCAGAACAACAACAGTTTATTGCATTTGTTTTGGTGAGTACATTCATTCCCTTCAGGCTTTTTGCAGTAAACACTGTCTTTTCAGAGAAAATGCAGTGTTTGCATTACAGCCTATGGATACCTCCACTGGCCACTCCTCAGATGGCTACTAGAGGAGCTTCCTTGGGCAGTGCATTCACATTCACTAGGGATGTGCATGGGTAAAAATTTGGTTCAGAAATTCACCTGGGCAATTCGGTTCAGTTCGGCACTTCAGAAATTCGGGACTTCAGCAATTCGGAACTCCGGCAATTCAGGACTTTGGCAATTCGGAACTTTGGCATTTCAGGACATCTGTAGGGCTCCTTAACCCTACCCCTACCCCTTACCCTACCTCTAACCCTAGCCCAAACCCTTCTCCTAACCCTACCCCTACCCCTGTCATCATTCACGTAATTTTCTCTCCCTCTCTTCTTTTGCCACTTTTCCGAAATCCTAAGCACTTCGACACTTCTGAAATTCGGCACTTCAGCACTTTGGACATTCGGAAGCATCCGAATGTCCGAATTGCCCAATATTTGTCCGAATTCACATTCGGAAAGAAACGAATTGCACATGTCTAACATTCACCCTCTGCATGGAGACACTGAACTTTCCTAACAGAGGCTTTGTTTGGCTTGTGATGCCTCTGTCCCTGATCTGCCTACTTGACAAACTCAGCCAATCCAATATTTTCCTAGGGGAAAGCATTGTGATTGGCTCAGATCATACCTTTTGATGATGTCAGCCAAGCAGGCAGATCGGGGGCAAAGCTAGCACCTGCAGACTGGAATAAGGTAAAAATTGACTATATTTAGGGGGCAAAGAGGAGCAAGATGATTTTTTTTAACACAATAGGGTCATGAATACATGTATATAGTGCTCTTTTAGCAATTTGAGCTATAGTACAGCTTCTGTGTGATCGGACCAGACTGGCTAATCTTCACTCCCCACGCATCAATGAGCCCTGGGCGCCCATGACCCTGACACCAATTCACCCGTGGTCTTTTTTTACATTATTTTTGGTATGTACTAAACACCCCAAAAGACTTGTCGTTTTGGAGATGTCAAACATCACCTCTGCAAAAGTGTTTCACATTATTAATGTAGTTAAAGAAGTGGTGGTCTAAATGGTGTGACATAAAACCACAGTATGGAGTCTAGGCACCATATCCACTACACCAACCTGTGTTATTTATGTATCTTAGACTGTCTCTTTAATGTTGATAATTTAGCTACTTTCAGTTATTCACAATTTTGAGAAGCATTTTCTGACTCATCTATTTTGTGTCCTTTATCAGAACAATGGGATGTTAGCTCACTATTGACACACTTTGAATATATGAGGATAATGAGCAATTAGTAGATTAATGTAACAACATGCTAAATTAATTCATTTAAAAAAATAAATAAATTATTTTTATATTTTTATAGACTGTGATCTGAACATTGGGCCATAAATAGTACTATAAAAATTAAATTTCTCTTGTACAGCGTTTGCAGAATCTGGTCCTATAACAATAAATTATTGGAAAATAAAAAATGTCATTATATGACCTGTAATTAATATTTTCAAGTGAATCACATTCTATATGCCAGGCAATGCATTTACACATTAATATTTGATTTAATCACATGCATTTTATTAGTTTGAACGAATGTTTGTGTAGATTAGGAGGCCCTGGGCACCAGAACCAGTCCAGTCTGAATCTGGGCAGTCATGAAGGGTGGGTGGCAGAGGCAGGCATTGGCACAGTATTAACTATGAACAAGCAGACTACAAACCATCACACCATTGTTGAATATTCATTTTGATAGAAAATGCGAAGTTTTGTCATTTATCTACCAAGCAAATTAAAGAGAAATTTTAAACCCACATTATTTTTCATTTCACATGGGAATTGGTTTATCAAATAAAGCTTTGCTGTGAGGGAGCAGTTTAGAGCCTCCTTAATTTTTCCTCATTGTCAGATCTTTTTATTGGATAAAAATCGTTCATTTTATACCCCATGCTACAACAAAGAAATGCAATAGCTAACTAGAAAAGCCTTTTATCTGTTTATAAATTGTAACACACTGGATAAGATCCTGCAGGCAAATTTTAAAGGGACCGGTTTCAAGATTTAGCTAAAACAACCTGCACTTTATCGGCAGAGAGAATAGACAGTCCTTAGACTACAATTCCCAGATTTCATGTCCAGGATTAAGGGTATTATAGTCCCAAGAAAAGCTGGATGACTAAAACAGGTGCATCATGCGACTGCTTCTCTTGTCAGGGGATTGTCCCATGGATGACGACATGGCAAGCTCAGGAAGTCGGACTACAATCCCTATCATGCTCAGGTAGCCCACAGCAGATGGATAGCAGGTATCATATCGTCTTGGAAATAAATAAGCTGGAAACCGATTCAGTCAGTGCACATTCACAAAGAAAACATTATCACTTATTCTGGGGAACAGAGAAAAACAATGTTCTTAGGTTCTTACCTTTCTTCCACTTCTAAGAACGCGAGCTATTATTCTAAGCCAGCTGGGTCAGACCGGGGAATGAATGAGAGACATGAGATCTCAGGAGGCTGTGAGCACACCGCCAGCAGCAATGCAAGGATCCTGCCAGAGCTGGGTGAATGAGTGAGAACAGGGATGGTGGTGATGGTATTATAAAGCTGTGTCTCTGCTCCTGGCCACTCCCCCTAGCATGGAGAATCACATACATAACAGAGGGGGAGACTAACTCAAATCACAGCAGGTAGGTACAGAGAGAGTGGTTCAGCCACACATTCCTTAGCAGCAGCTAGCTATAAAGAGGAGGGTTAAGCCACACATTACTTAGAAGGAGGTAGGTACAGAGAGCCTGGGGTATCCACACTTAGAAGGAGGTAGGTACAGAAAGACTGGGGTATCCACACATTTCTTAGCATTAGGTAGGTATAGAGACTGGGGTATCCACACATTTCTTAGAAGAAGGTAGGTACAGAAAGCCTGGGGTATCCACACATTCCTTAGGAGGTAGGTACAGAAAGACTGGGGTATCCACACATTACTTAGAGGGAGGTAGGTACTGAGGGCCTTGGGTATCCACACATTCCTTAGAAGGAGGTAGGTACAGAGAGCCTGGGGTATCCACTCTTTCACAAGCAGCAGGTATGTACTGAGAGTTTAAGTTAATCACAAATTCCTGAGTAGGTATTCCTGAGTAGCACTGCTCAATATTGAGGATATTTGTCAAGACATAACCAGGTGCTATTGTAGGCATTCACATGGAAACTAATAGAATGGCTCTCTTTTATAATTTATCATTTTGCAAACAAAATAGTAGCTGGCTGAGCTGGCCCCAGGCTGTAATTTTACAGTGGCAGCATTTTGCCACCCCTGTACATGTTAATTCAGAGGCGGCTCTCTAACTAGGCAAAGATAGGTGGCGGCCTACGGCCTCGCAATCTCTGGGGCCTTGAGGTCACCTAACTCGCTTTAGGGCAGACTGATCCAACACCAGTAGGGGACCCTATGGCTTACCCTATGTGCCGCCTGGTGCAGTGTTCATCCACTCAGGAGGAGCACTAGAACCGGACACTGGCAAGTGGCAATATTTGGATCTGTCTGGGCAACTAAACCATCAAGACAGACCCAGTTATAGTTAGTAAAAGTCCCACGGGCACTGCTTTGCTGTATCCTGCCACTGGATGCCAATGGCAGCACAGCCAGTTCTTATAGAAGTGGATACTTGCATCCATCTGCTGGCTGCCGGAACCCGTTATACTGTACAGCACGAGGACACAGCATTTGTCAGCTCTGACATGCCCCTGAACTGTGCATGGGCATGTCAGAGCTGGGCAGGGGACCACGAAAGGTCACAGTGGGGGAGCAGTGGTGGAGAGGTGTGGCTTCAGTAAGCAGAGACCACAGGCCTGCCGACGCTGAGCAGAGGCCCCGACGCACAAAGAGAGCTAGGCAAGGAGTCTTGAAGGCACCACCACTTCCAGAGCAGAGCTGCATTGTAAGTCAGTTGGACTAACCCCCCATCCCACTCAATGTTTGGATATATGTTATGTGGGCATAGTGGCATGGATGTGGGGATAACACAATTTAGGCACATTGCTTAAATTATGTTTTACCCACACCAATGCCACATTGTGTTATGTGATGGTGGACTGTGTGGTTAAAGAGCCAACACAGGTCAGTAGGTGGAGCGCTCTGAGATAGAAATAACTCACCCCCCTCTTAGGCTTTTATGGAGTAACCTAAAGATGGGGATGAGATAAAATAGAATAGAATCGTGTAATACGTTTTGGGAAACAGTCGCGTGGTAATAGAAATATGTGGAACCATTCACATGGTGCTGAGCCTCAGTAGGACAGGCTCAGATCACTTGGGCAGGCGTGTTTAACATAGGGGCTGATAGAGCTGCAGCTCCAGGCCCAGGCCCAGGGAATAGGCCCATTGATTTACTGATAGAGCTGCAGCTCCAGGCCCAGGGAATAGGCCCATTGATTTAAAAAAAAAATTTTTTTTTTTTTTTTACACAATACTCTTAGGGTTTCCACCTGACTTTTATTTTATTGGCATAGCCAGTATTTGAGGCTGCCTGGCCGGTGCCGATATTGAAGTCATACTGGCAAAACAAATGCTGGTATTTTTCTTAGTATAAACAGAGATCACGATGCAATACCAGTCGCTGTGTGTGGAGAGAGGCAGGGATAGGAATTTCCAGCATATACCTCCCTGCCTATCTTTACTCACTGATCCGCAGGGGAGCAGCTACTGAGAGTCCAGATAGCAACTCCCACCCTGCAGATACCACCTACAGCTCAGGGAAGTGAGGGATGGAGGGAAAGACTGCAAGGAGACGTGGGGACTCCCAACCTTAACTACTTTTCACCTACTCTCACCTACTCTTGCTTAAGTATGGAAACTTAAGAGGGATGTATAGGAACAAAACTTGTGTGGACTGGCTGACAATGAAATTAATTTAGGTAATGCTAACTTTGGTCTAACACTGTGGCATGTTCACTTTCTTCTACACTCATGAAATACAGCTTTTCTCTGTCCCAGACTATATACCAGGAGTTTCTGCCTACTAGTAAGAAGGTAAGGAAACAAGTGGACCAGCGAATGCTTAGAAAGCGTTGAGCGAGCGCCTCATTAGACGCATTTATGCCAAGCTCAGGGTGCTGTCTGCATACTATGCCCTTGGCCAGCTTGCATGATTGGCAGGCAGCCTGACATGCATTCATACCAGGCTGGCTTTCCAATTCTTTGGGCAGCCATGCCCTCTTTTTGGGCATGTTCGCTCCTTTTGACAGGTTACGTGATTTGTGTCAGTGGCCCACCCTTTTATCGTGCCCATTGACTTCCTGCTTGACTGAACACTGCTGTTAAGGATTATGGATTTACTTGAAAGATGAAAACATAAATTAGAGAGAGATTAGCATAGGGTATGTGTTTTCTTATAGCTGCTGTTTTCTTTCCCTCAAGCACTATCTCCATCAAATACATGACGCTTGGGAGTGTTTGTGTTTTTGGTCGATAAGATTCTGTAATTAGGCCCATCATAACTGTCAGCACCAGGCCCACAAGGCTGTTAATCTGGCCCTGGTGTTTGGGATAACACGAAACCTAAAGTTGGTGAAGATCGTGCTGTTCCTTTATAAGGAAAAAAATGAATTTGGTGCAGTATGCAGATTAATTCAATATATATGGTGAAGTAAACAGAACTGCATAATGTTGGCATACTATAATAGATGCAGACTGAATGAGGCAATGTGGCATGGATGGCATAACAAAACATGGTACTTAGTATTACATGGCTACACAAATGCAAACACTCTGGGTCCGTTCATTGCTCATTAATGACATATATAATGTGGGTGATTATTCACAGAGCCAGGGCCGATCTTAGGCCGGTGCATGGGGCGCCCTCGAGGCAATGGAGTTATGAGGGGCAGAGGGAGCCATTACCCCCTCCAAATTTGATGCTGTCCAGGGTCCTGTGGTTCTGTCCTAGGTGAGGGTCCCCTCAGCCTCTCCCTAGCGCAGCATTGTGTTTGCTCTCTCTTGGCGCCGAGCAGCTACTTGAAAATATGCTGCCCGGCGCTGAGCGTCCGCCTGCCTGATATGCTGCACCACTCGCTGATAGGCGGTGTATGGCCAGCGGGGGAGCTCCATGTGAGCACTCCCTGTACAACTCCCTTGTGCCATGTAGAGGTCCCCGTAGTCGGAGTGTGACATCATTCCGGGCCAGGGCACGCAAGGGAGCTATACAGGGAGTGCTCATATGGATCGGAGCTCCCCCAAAGGTGCATAGCAGCAGGCCATGCTGGATACCAGGGGACTGTGGATTCACTTCAGTTCTCCTACAGTTAAGTGGCAAAAAACCAAAAACCAATTAAAACAAACACTCTTTTTTTGCTGAATGTGTGTGTGAGAATGTGCCTGTGGTTGTTTATGTGGCTCAGTGTTTTTGAGTGTGTTTCATTATGTGTGTATGTGCCCACAATACTGTCCCCAGTCCCCCCAATAAAGCTTTAACTCCCAACAATACTGTTCATATCCTCCCCAACCTTATGCTCCCCACAATACTGCACTTATTAAACTCACACTAAAGCCCCAATCCCCTAAATACTACCCCTTCCCTCCCTATCCTTCACTAAAGCCCCAAACCCACACAATACTGTCCTTGTTCCAAGACAATACTGCCCCTACCCACCACACCATGGCCCTTATCCCCCCACTAAAGTCCCAATCACTCCCAATACTGCCCTACTACCCCTTCCCTCCCTATCCTTCACTAAAGCCCCAAACCCACACAATACTGTCCTTGTTCCAAGACAATACTGCCCCTACCCACCACACCATGGCCCTTATCCCCCCACTAAAGTCCCAATCACTCCCAATACTGCCCTACTACCCCTTCCCTCCCTATCCTTCACTAAAGCCCCAAACCCACACAATACTGTCCTTGTTCCAAGACAATACTGCCCCTACCCACCACACCATGGCCCTTATCCCCCCACTAAAGTCCCAATCACTCCCAATACTGCCCTACTACCCCTTCCCTCCCTATCCTTCACTAAAGCCCCAAACCCACACAATACTGTCCTTGTTCCAAGACAATACTGCCCCTACCCACCACACCATGGTCCTTATCCCCCCACTAAAGTCCCAAATCCCCCCAATACTGCCCTATGCCCCACTAAAGCCTCAACCCCACACAATACAGTTTCTACCCCTCCCCCCCACACTCTAATTGGATGGAAAAAATGGAAAAGGGTCAGTGCTAATAAAAATAGAAGTATAGTAACCATCAAACCTTCTGAGAAAAGAGTGTGTGATACAAAAGATAACAGGAAAAGGTCTGTGCTAGGTAAATAAAGCGTAAACATAATAATAGCAGTAATAATAATAATACAGCACTGAGTATCTGAGATCTCACTGAAACAATGGGATAGGGGTTCTGATAGAATCACATAAATGAAAAAAAAAAAAATGTTCAAGGTTCACTCGAAAGTAAATGTCTTATAAAGTTCTTTTTTTTTTGGTGTAGTGTCCTCAATATCTTTAGTGGTCCAGCCGTTCAGCGTGTATGTACAGTAGCCCATCAAGGTTTAAATGCTGATTTTGATTTGCATAACTTTCTATGATTTTATCAAAATGTTATCTTAGATTTTATGATCCTCTCGCAGTGCTTTTCAGTATTTTATATATGCTCTTTTTTATATTTTTATATTTGCTATTATTTATTTTTAATTTTTTATATGCATTACGTTTGTTGTATTGTTTTTATTTTTTTAATGTGGAATTAATTGCTTATCAGTGTTATTGTGGATTGCACCAAATTGGGTTTTACAAAACATACCCACTTCCTTTAATCAGTTTAGTTTTCTATATATATATGTTACACATATTGTCATATTAATCCTACTGAGTTACATTATGTATTCTGTTTTCCAGTGTTTATACAATATAAATCCTCTTTCCCCATTTATATTATAATTAGAGTTGAGCGAACCCGAACTGTAAAGTTTGGGTTCGTACCGAACATTACGGTTTTTGGACCCCAGACCCGAACATGGACATTTCACTCTATGTTTGGGTTGGAGTTCGGTGTTCGGCAATTTAATGGCACATTTTGGAGGCCCTAAAGTAAAATAAGGGGGGGGAGACCTATTGTCCTCCCCCCCAGCCCCCTGCGCGGTGGGTGGGGGCCCTAAATATTAATTAGGGGGGGACCTACTGTCCTCCCCCCCCAGCCCCCACCCCTGAGTGGCGGGTGGGGCCCCGCCCTGCAAAGCTCAGTCTGCGCGGAGCCCTCCATGGGTGAAGATGGATTTTTTATTTTGCGCTTGTTTGTTTTTTTAAAGTGCGTCGGTTATTGTGAATTTTTATTTGGCCTTTTTTGGGGCTGAAAAAAGAAGATTTTAGAAGAAAGAAAACATCAAATGGTAAGTTTATTTTAAATTTTTTTTTACAGGTATCTAGCTTATGGAGCTGTTCTTTTACACCAGCCTCCTACATTGTGGCTAATTGCCACACTTAATATGGCTGCCGAGCACCTTATTTATCCTTCACAATATGCCCGTAATAATCAGACAGCCTGGGACCACCCCCCTGTACGTAGGGAGGTGCGCATGCTGCCTGCCGAGTTGACAACCATGCACGCCCCTTGTGTCTCATGCGGCCGTCCTACGATTTGCATGTACTGCATACTACATTTCTCATGAGGCTATATTTTTTTTTTTAAATTTGACAATGTTTATTGACAATTTTCTTATTTTCCAACATCAACAAAAGAGGGGGAGAGGGGGGTACAGAAGAAAAGAGAAGGGAGGGGTTGGGGGGGCGGGGGGGGAGAGTCCAGCAGATGTTTATTCTTGATTATTAGTGTACATTCCAGAGCAATACTATACAGTACAGTAATACAGTAGATATAGGCATTAGCTTCCCGCGAGGCTATAGGGTAAGCTTGTTATACTAGTTCCTTTAGTACATTTCCTATTTTATTTTTAGTTTGGTCCTTTGACCTCGGTACATACATGCATCTGTTGCCCCGATCTCCATGTGTCCCATTTCTCCCATGACTTTGCCGTGGTCCGAGATGGGGGCCATAGTTTACTATATGCTCCCTGATATGCTCTCTGCTCTTGGACATCAGAGATCAGCCTAGAGATGGGGGGCAGTTTTTGGTTTTCCATGCTCTCGCAATCACCCTATGGGCTGAAAGAAGGACGTGGTAGATGAGTTTCTTTATAGATCTGGGTATCTCACTCGGAAGGAGTAAGGTTACATATATTTAGGGTGTAAATGATAGGGTGATGCCTGTGTTTGACTCTAATAGGTCATGGACTGCGGCCCAGAATGGACTAGGTGCTGGACACTGCCACCAAACATGGAGGACATCCCCCTGAGATTTGCCACATCTTCAGCAGGTGGAGGGGCTATTTGGGTAGATTTTATGAAGTCGTGTGAGTACCATGTACCATCTATATATGACTTTCCTCTGCTATTCTACTAGAGTGTTGGATTTAATCAATTGGTTAATGTCTCGGAACAGGGTATTCCATTGACTAGGTGGGATTTCTATATCTAAATCTGTGTTCCAGTGTTGTGCTGTTGTGGTAGATGGGAATGGAAGACCTCTCACTTTTTTTACAGTGAGCAGCCACTGACTTCAATGGGGTTCGGGTTCGAGGTCAAGTTCTATACTATAGTGTTCATATTCCCCACTTAAGCCCCAATTCCACACAATACTTCCCCTATCCACCCACACTAAAGAATAAATCCCATACAATACAGCCCCTGTTCCCATCACAATAAAACCCCAATTCCCCACAATACTGACCCTATCCACCCCACTAATGCCCCTATTCCACACAATACTGCTCCTATCCCCCCCACTAAAGCACTTTATAATGTGCCCTACATTATACAGCCCTTATCTCCCCACAATACAGCCACTGTACCACTACACTAAAGCCCAAATACCATCTGTGTTCCTATCCCCCCACTAAAGCCACAATCCCCCCACACTAAAGAATCAATCCCCCACAATATGGCCCCTGATCCCATCACAATAAAACCCCAATCGCCCACAATACTGCCCTTATACCCTCCCCACTGAAGCCACTATCCCACACAATACAGTCCCTACCCCCCCTCCACAATACACTACAGCCCTATCCCCCACAATACAGACCATATACACCCCCTCCCATATATTTGCCCTGCTTGGTCTGTGAGTTTGTTTTAAATCAGTGAAAGTGTGTGTCAGTGAGAGAGTGTGCCAGTGTGTCTGTCAGTGTGTGTGTCTGCCAGTGTGTGTTTCGAATCAATGAGATTGTGTGTCTGTCAGTAAGAGTGTGTGCCAGTGTGTCTGCCAGTGTGTGTCTGCCAGTGCGTGTTTCGAATCAGTGAGAGTATGTATCTGTCAGTGTGTGTTTCGAATCAGTGAGAGTATGTCTGTCAGTGAGAGAGTGTGCCAGTGTATCTGTCAGTGAGAGTGTGTGCGAGTGTGTGTTTTGAATTAGTGAGAGTGTGTGTCTGTCATTGAGAGTGTTTGTATGTGTGTGCCTGTCAGTAAGTGTGTCTGTCAGTGTGTGTTTTAAATCAGTGAGATTGTGTGTCTGTCATTGAGAGAGTGTGCCAGTGTGCCTGCCAGTTTGTGTGTCTGCCAGTGTGTGTTTCGAATCAGTGAGAGTGTGTGTCTGACATTGAGAGTGTGTTTAATTATGTGCCTGTCAGTAATCGTGTATGTCAGTTTGTGTTTCAAATCAGTGATATTGTGTGTCTGTCATTGAGAGTGTCAGTACGTCTGTCAGTGTATGTCAAATCAGTGAGTGAGTGTGTCTGTAAGTGAGAGAGTGCGTCTGATTACAAAAAAGGTGTGTGGCTTATAGATAGAAACAGGCAGATCTGGGCATTTGCAAAAGGGGAGGGGCAACAACAACAAAAATCCTGCACCCATGCGTCTGTGACCCTAGGATCGGCCCTGCACAGAGCCCTGGTCTTTGGCGAGGTTGCAAACAACGGCGAAAACAAATTATCATAATATAACATAATGGATGTGGGTGTATTTTGGTGTGCATGTTTTTGGTGAGGGAGGGTAGCATTTCATTTAATAAACATGACAGAATTAAAATGCATGCAGTTTTATGCACTATACGCTGGATTGTAGCAGATTGATATTCAAATTGCAACATTAAGGCTAAGATATCAAAACTGTGGCTATGGCATAATTGAAAAAAAAATCTTCAAGTGAGCTATGTTTGTCTTAACTTATCAATTTGTTTTTAATTTGCTACAATTTGAAGTTTGGTGATTAACCCTGACAGTGTATATAGATATAAAAATAGTAGTAATTTCTGGCAGTCTTCCCTTTTTGATTGAAAACCTCAATACAATTCCAGGGTGCTTCCCAGCGCATGAAATATATCCAAATGATCAAGATGCTGAACAACTTACAATGTGCATTATATAAAATAAATACCTCATCATAAATTAAACTTACCATAAACCCGGTGAAACATCAGAACACAGTGCCGTGTGCTGTCTGTCAATACGTCGAACGGTCCTCCCCTACGTTTCAATATTCTCGCTTCACCTTTATTGGATCAATTTATATACATACATATATGCAGCTATTTACTTGCATGCCCTGCTCTGCTGTTTTCTTGGGGGGTGGGGGGGGTTCTCTCTTTTTTGTGTTTTTTTTATTTTCAACTAGCTTATTGACTCTCTTCTGTTTATTTACTTTTTCTGGCTTCTCAGATTCTCAACCAACCTGCACCTTTCACTATTAGGCACATCTTCTGCTATTTATGACACCCCACTCACCCCTATCCCTTCCCTTCTCTAACATCAGTTGTTTTAAGTGTTAAACTTTGTCAGATTGATCAGTGTTGCTTCAAACCTGAAGAAGAGAGGAAACTCTCGAAAGCTTGCCTTTGAAATATTATGTTAGCCCAATAAAAACGTATCATTGCATACTGCAATAATCTGGTATTTTGGCATTATATATATGTATATAAAGTTTTAAATGTCCAGTGCCCCTCCCTCTTACTGGCCTCCCACCCATTGAGAGAAACAGTATTTCTCTAAGTCAGGGGCGTCTAAAAGGTAGATCCTCAAATGTTTTAAAACTTAAGCTTTCATGATGCTCTGTCATTGTAAAAGCATTTTAAAGGCACGCAAAGCATTATGGGAGTTGTAGTTCTACAACATCTGGGGATCTACCTTTTGGACACCCGTGATCTAAGTGAAAGGTCATTAATAGACTTAGAACATTAGCTAATTAGCCTATCACCAGCTACCTGGTTAAACCTTCCCCGCGCTGTTTAATCAGAGAGGGGAGGAAGCCATTGGGCGGTGGTGTCGGGTGCTGGAGTCCCAACTTCAAGTTGCAAAACAGTTTAAACCCTTAAGGTAAGACTGTGCCTGGCCACTCCTGCTCCCACAACAACTTAAATGTACTTGAGTTGTTATTGGGATGGGAGTGCTGCTTTAAGTATTTAAGAAATATAAACTTTATTTAAAATGAAAAATAACATAGGGAAAGAATTCCTAAGGAAATGTGCTGTGCATGCCTTTGTTCGTTATTATTGGATCCTGGGATGATTCCCAGGATCTCTCACCAATTATTATTAGCATTTTTTATAGCACCAACATATTTTGTAGCACTTTCCAGTTATACACTGGGGATATATATAGCAGCAAGTATTTGACAGACAAGAGATAAAGAGGTCTTTGATTAGTTCACTATCTACAATAATATAGCACTCATACAAGTTTATAGTTCAAACTTATTATGTCTCTGTAAATAACAAGCAACAGTCCAGAGTGTTTTAATTTTTCATAATATTACCTTTTAGAAATAAGTGTTTATTACTAGTAGTGCGAGCACTCAACAGATACGGTAAGTGTCAAAGTGTTACCTAAATGGCCTTTAAGAATGCTGTGACTACGGGTTTAGAGGTTATGGTGACTAAATGATCCTTTAACCCCTTAAGGACCAAACTCCTGGAATAAAAGGGAATCATGACATGTCACACATGTCATGTGTCCTTAAGGGGTTAAAGACTTATTTCAGTACCATAAACAGCAGATAAAGAGAATGTTCTCCATATTTTATGGGGCACAATTTACTTTTTGAAACCAACTACATTTTAAGAAATAGGTAGAAATCCATGTACCGTAAACACAGGGCATGTTCTGTATTTGGGACACTTTCTGTTCTAGAGTAACTATGTAATTAGCTCTTTAGAACTGTAGTCTGTAAATTGGCTGATAAAACATATATAGAATAAGCTGAATGAAATGTTAAACTCCCTCCATATCTGCAGTAATAAATACGCAGCACAGAACAGCAATGTGTGTTTGTGTAAAAAGTCAAATATTTGTCTATATAAATTTAAAGGGATACTCTAAGAACCATAAGCACTATGGTGCACTGTAATGGTTATAGTGCCAGTAGTCTCCAGGTGCAGTCACACCGTTTACGAACAGTTTGATATTTTCTTTGCTATGCCAGGCTCCCACTATCCTTCCAGTCCGAGTTGCTCCAATGATGCAGCATTTCACACTTATGCATCATCACACCAACTCATGACAGGTTTGGACAGTATCCATTGGCTGAGAACCTCAGCTGACAGCTATCAGCCAATGAATAATCTCCAAGCCTGGTATGAGTTAGCTGTAGTGGTTATGGTATTTGGAGTGTCCCTTTAAGATACTTCAAGCACTACTAACACCTGCAATTATCTGTCCTTTGTCTCCCTTCATTCATTATAAATTGCTGTAGCCATATAAAAATGAACAAAGCCAAAACACAGTTTTGATTAACTTTGTGAATAAAACTACATGGAGCTGCTGAACTTAATATCCCATAATTCCTTGCTGCAGAGCTATTCAAAGCTCTTTGAGAATAATAGCATTATACATACATTTAAAGAGTTATTTCAAACACCTAGACAACTTTAAGGGATTATTTTTTTTTTTAAATGATAACATTTATTTTCTTTGTTTGTATGTCAGCAGATATTAATTTTCTGAAAACAAAAGTAAAATAAAAAGCGTCTGGATAAAACCTTCAGCAGTTGCCTCCTATACAAACCAGACTTTGAAGATCAGGGAATGTACTAACGTAAGATCATTGCTTGTTATAACTCAAGTCAACAAGTTAATACACAGAGAAAATAAATCCCAAATTATTGACATAAGCACCTTCGTGCGTGCAAATAGCAGCTGTCTTTCACAAACTGTGTTATTTACTGAAGTTAGAATTATTATTATTATTGCCATTTATATAGCGCCAACAGATTCCGTAGCGTGAATTCAATGTGAATTTTAAATTTATGGTCTAAATACCAAAACAGGAAAAATTCTCAGTTATGATTTCAGTTCAAATATACTGGCCTAAACTTTGAAATTCACTTTTAATTCTCATTTTACTGAATGAAAGTGCTTGTTCCTATGACGAATCGATGTGCATATCTCTGCTGTGGCATTCCTACCTCGAAGAGTCCTGTGCTATTGCTAACAGTTGCTGACGAACGTCCATCCAGCTTCAGATTTTACCTGCAGCATTTCATTTCTTTGTCTCGACAGCATGGATCAAGGCCATGTATATAAAATGGGATGAATTATTATCTGTAAGTTTAAGGATTAACTATTCTAGACTGAACTGACAGTAAAAAATCCCAATGAATGAATCGCAGTGAAGACTGTAGATTGGGGATCTGTTTCCAAAACAGATTTGGTTTATTTATGTATAGAGCCTTGGTAACAAACACAGATACTGGATTATGACAATTTACCAATACTTTGTAATGTTTTTACATGGGAATAAATCTTCTCTTCATTGCTCCTGTTTGTTAGCAGGCATAGGACACCATATAATTTTATGGTTTAGAACTATATATGGTAAAACAAAGTCTGTTTTTTGGGGAAATCAATGTACATTTATGGGGTAAAATCGGTGAGAATTTTTAGGTCGATTTTTTTTCTGATTTGCCAATTTTTTCCCAGATTTTGAAATCCACATAATTCACTTTAAATTTCCAATAGTTCACAGTTGACTGTGTTCCTTGGGTCAGGCAGATAATCAAGTAAA